TMSRTTMMMMTTTTTTTTTTTAATTTTACATGTCCTGGATGACTGAGAGTTTCCAGAAATACTGTATATGGCACYTCTACCTCTGACCATATCGATGCTAAAGTTACTGCATCAACTCTACTTCCAACATGTCYCACCGGTTTCATAAATAAAAAGTTGCACCGGAGCATCTGGTCAGAGGCAGGTTCAGTTATAAACACTGAACTAAATAAATGCGTCAGATTATTATTTATTTTCTGCTCTGATTGAGCAACAAACTCAGACTCGACATGCTAAAATGTAGCATTTATATTCATGTCTGTAAACAGCGAGCTGAATGYGTCGTCACAACATTTTCTGCACATGTGGGTCACATCAGTGCTGCGGAAAGTTCACACTGGAGTCTGATGGAGGTCACGTTTATTATGTGAAGGTCCTCGCAAAAAAATAGCAGATTTTTGCAAAAATTTGATTTGAGCATTAAGACCTGCCATGTGAATATGGTCCTGTGGTGTTGCCCCTCACTCAGTGACTGCTGGACATGGGCACCAGTGAGCCCAGAATATATTGGATGAAGGAAATCATTTTTCTACTTAAGTACAAATCGGAATCTTTTAAAGGCAAAAATTCAAGGAAAGGAAGCTACAAACTACAAGCAAAAAAAGTTAAATGGATATCTCATTTCATCAGAACATCTCACAGCTGGTCTGAAGCTGACTGATCAGTTGATTTATCAAACTGCTTCCCTGAATCTCCGACCAGGACCCCGTTTCTGGTGTAGAAAACTTGGGCCAAAGACGGACTCATGGGGGAGGGCGTGTACACATCACACCTGCTGCCGCCGAGGCTCGGTGCACACTGCACCTCGTATGAAAAGAAAAAGGTGCCATGCTCAAACGTGCAGCTATCTGACACTTTCCCTTCATGGAGATCAACCAAACACTCACCAAGCAGATCACTGTCCCAGTATGAATCCTCATCGTAAACACTGAATGTAAGTTTATTCTTCATGTTGATAACAATGGGTCCAAATTCAAATTTTTCGRGCCATTGTGGGTCGTCATCATCAGATATGATGTCGGTATACTTAGTCTGGTCACCGTATTTCACCTGCACTGAAGCGTCTGTCTGACTCCACACATCACCATACAGATTATTTGCAGAAAGTTTGAACACCTTTAACGTTGCAAGACCTTTCCCAGCAGGACAGCAGTTTGGGTTGACATTCTGGTTACTGTTGCACACACAGGCACATGGATCTCTTTTGTTGGTTCTGTGTCCGATCTGACAGGGTTCAGAACATTGTTTCAACACACCGTTCTTTTTAATGTACTGCTCTACTTCTTGTTTTAAACCATTACGAGCAAGATGGTTGTTAGGCAGTATGGTGTGCAGGGGCTTCAAGTTGTACTGGACCACATCAGGTGTATATTTAAGGGAGTTCAGCCACTTTTTATTCGCATCAGTGTTTGAACCATCTTGAAAGAACACAACATCGTGCTCATTTCCACCTGTAACTTCTATGATTCGCTCACTGAACTCAGAGCTGAAACTTTGACCATGGGCTAAATTCTTTTTCTTTGCCTGACAGTGTTGGTACATYGCCTTGATGCTAGCTGTACTTGCAATGGTGGCCGAAGCCTCTACTGACAAACAATCACTAACGTCTGTTGCTGTCAGCCCACTCATGGTTGCCAAACAAGTCTTGAAAGAAGTTATTGCTTTTATTCCTCCCCCTAGAGACACCTGTGTGATGTAATGTGTACCATAAGTGTCAATCAGGTTACGATATAGAGGGGCCTTTGCAAAAGAGTAGGGAGGAAGGGAGTTCACAGCTGATAGAAAGTCATGGCTCATGGGAGGATTTGTTGTCAGCCTGTAGCTGTGGAGCATATAAAGCAGAAAAAGGAGATAATGAATGTCAGTGTCTTATATTGAGCATATTATTAGAGTATAGAAGTCTGATGAGCTTATTTTAAACTAAAGGGAGAAGAAGGAATAAGACTTATGTTTTTAATAAATGCTATAGTTTTTTTCAGCTTGTTTTTTTATCTACTTTATGCCTCTAACTAGTCATAATACTCACCGATAAAAGCTACAGTCAACAGAATGGCGAACAAACATGTAGCGGTCTTGTTTAGACTTCGTCATCCCAAACTGAGATGCCCTGGAGTGTGAACCTCCAAAGGACGCACCAACAGTAGCTGTAGGATCTACTGGAATTTCTAGACCAAGCTTCCAGTCATTGGACACAGATGATGTGGAATCATTGACCAGACTTTCAACAGAATCGTACAGCACACTGGCCACCTTCGTGGTGCACTTCGGTAAGGGTCTCCAGTCCACCACAGCAGCCGGGACCTTCTGGTTCTCCATCATGTAGCTGTTTGTGTACATTCTGCAGGTGCCGTTTCCAAGGTTCCATGTTTCGGTGTCGATGACGTAGGCCCCTTTCCTCTCCATTGTYACGATGTCGAAGCCTTCTCCACCCAGGTTGTACCCTGGGACAAAGTGGGCCTGTTTACATTCCTGTGGTGAACCGGGGAAGCTGACTGTGGATGAGAAGCCCAGAGGACTCCATGCCCAGAACAGGAGCATGAGCTGCCATGTGAGTCCCATCTGTGAGGGTAAAAGCAATCAGAGATCAAAACCAAAATCAGCTTCACATTAAACGTTATTTTTACCTATTTACTTTTCAAGAAATAATACATCTGTACAGATATTTTTAATAAATAAACAGGTGCTTCTTGATACTTTTCACAAAAAATAATTTCCCATAAATCTTTAATTTGGTCACCAATAGAACTCATWAACAAAAAATCATCAAAATGAATGAATAACAAAGTGTCTCCTGACGCCAACAAAAATTTAATTTTCATTCAAAGTTTTACTGAAATGAAAACAATTGTCGCTGTCAGGAAAGAGAAGACTTACCCTCATTTTCAACAGCAACCTCTGCTGAGTTGCTCCTAAAAAATCAACTTATGTTGGGTTGGTTGATGTGGAGGTGGAGTCAACAGTTCACACATTTGATTACAATTAGTTTCATCAACCCCTCTATTTTTATCGTCTGCTGAAAGGCAGTGCAACTTTCTGTACATTACATGCAAAGAAATAATGTCTCTCCTGAAGGACAATTAAAAATAATCCACAAGTTTTAACACTGAGACCACGTCTGGTGGTTTCAGTGGTAACACTTGTGGGTCATCTTCTCAGTTTGGAGAAAGAAATATGGTCTTATATGGAAAAGTTCAAACTCTTTAGTTGCCCACCACTTTAGCACTTTGTTTCAACTTGTGATCAGCTCAGAACACGCTCTTGTCAAACTTCACAAACCATAATTTGGCACTGACTCTTCATGCTTAATCTGCAACCARGAACTGAGTTTGATTATTTTGCTTGATGATGCTTGTTATCATTTAAGTTTCATGTGTTTTAGTTGCTGCTGAGGATTTATTTTGTGTTTTTTTTCTGCTTGTTGCTTCTGTTGGTTTGATATTTGTGAAGTCATGAAAAATATTTTAAAAATCATGGAAGTCCTTGGACTTTGTAAATGTGTCATCTGATCTGTGGCCGTATGTTTTGGACACTCAGATGAAGAGAAGAGCTGAGCTGTCAACCGATCACCAGCTGGTAGTGAGTTGGATCAGACYGTGGGGGGAGATGCTGGATAGACCCGGAAGACCCAAACATGTAATGAGGGTTTGCTGGAAACGRCTGCAGAGGAACTCATCAAACAAATCTTCAGCTCACTCCTCAGAGACAACTTCAACAACATCCCAGCTGAGGCGGGGGATATTGAGTCCAAGTCAGCCATGTTACGCGCCTCAATTGTTGAAGCGGCTGCCTTGAGCTGTGGCCGCAAGGTTGTCGGTGCTTCTTGTGATGGCCATCCTCAAACTTGGTAGTGGACACCCTGGGTAAGGGAGGCTGTCAAGCTGAAGAAGGAGTCCTATCCGGCCTTGTTGGCTGGTAGGACTGCAGAGGCAGCTGAGGAYTATTGGCAGGCCAAGTGGGCCGCAGTCTTGGCCATTGCTGAGGCAAAAGCTCGGATATGGGAGGAATTTGGTGAGGCCTTGGACAACGATCCTTGATCGGCTCTAACAAGATTCTGGAAAGACATCCTGTGGCTCAGGCATGGGAAACAGCGCTTCCCTAACACTGCACTCAGTGAAGGTGGGGTGCTGTTGACCTCAAKCAGTGATGTCATCAGGAGGTGGAAGGAATACTTCTTGTACCTTCTCAATCCCACCAGCACGTCTTCTATGGAAGAAGAAGAGTCTGAGGACTTTGGGGTTAGTCCGTCCATAACTGGGGACTGAGGTCTCTGAGGTAGTTAAAAAACTCCATGGGAGCTCTAGGGATGGATGAGATCCGTCCTGATTTCCTCAAGACTCTGAATGTGGGGCTGTCTTGGTTGAAATGCCTTTGCAACATCTCATCTCATGGACATTGAGGGCAGTGCCACTGTATTGGCAGACTGGGTTGGTGGTTCCCCTTTTCAAAAAAGGGGATCAGAGGGTGTGTTCCAGTTACAGGACCATCACTCTCCTTAGCCTCCCTGTAAGGTCTTTTCAGGGATACTGGAGAAGAGAGTCTGATCAATAGTCAAACCTCCTATTCTGGAGGAACAACGCAGGTTCTGTCCAGGCTATAGAACATTGGACCAACTCTTTACCCTCACTAGGATCCTCGAGGAGTCATGGGAGTTTGCTAATCCAGTTTACATGTGTTTTGTGGACTTGGAGAAMGCACTTATTTTTTGCAAATAGCCTTTGCATGTGTTCACACTTACAGCGGGTAAAATTAGTATTGAACACGTCACCATTTTTCTCAGTAAATATATTACTAGAGGTGCTAATGACATGAAATTTTCACCAGATGTCGGTAACAACCCAAGTGATGTCCTGATGCATCTCAGTAATCC